CAACTATAGTTGGACACAACCTCAGAGACAGAGACGACTACGCTTTTCAGTGAAATGAAATGAAATATGCAAAATAGTGGCAACAATAGCTAACTGCAAGCACAAGATGGCAGTAATGTAAAGGCTGGATTCAAATATTCATTGACAGGCTAGGAGCTTTATGACAGTGCAGTGCTGCCCTCTGGTTCTCTTCCCTTTAGCTGTTTGTGGCCTCGCTTCTTCTCCTGTTTTTGCAGGTGCAGGTTAAAGACTTGTGTTTTTCCACTTGTGATCTGTCCTCTTATTCTTATCTTTTCATGTATTGTCTCTCTTTTCACTCTTCTTCCTACCCGTCAACTCTGGCTTTGCCATATTACATAGTAGGAAATAGTAGGAAATGAATACATAAATGAAAAGAAAAGAAAATCACAAACAATAGGATCCTATAAACTTATCTTGGAAAAGCAAATATGTTTGACACAACAGTGTATTCAGATGATGAATCTGATTGCAAGAGCTGCCAGACATGACAGTTATTTAAAAAGAAAATATAAACTCCATGTGTGATGTCTGCCTTGTCTAATAATCAACACACACGTGTATACACAGACTGAAACCTGAACAAAACCTAATATAACACAAGTCAACAAATAATTTTTACACACCAGGATTAATTTATCATATCATACATGATGACTTTCAGTGTAATGCCATACCTGAATGATAGAACAGTGGGTTAATTGACTGTGATTATCAGAGTGACAGTCTGGGGGATGAAATTGTCTCTGTGGCAGCTGTAAACTCTGTGTAAACTCACTTTACACATCAAATTTACCAGCCCACTGGTGGAGGAGGTGTTTTTTTTCTTTTACCATAATAAATCACACAGAATTACAGTTTAAGTAAATGGCAGGTCTAAAGGGGTTAACTGGGAGGGCACAGGGGTAGAAAAGTGTACATAGGACTCATGAACCTATAAGCTCTTTCTCGAGTCGTGGTACACAACATTTCACACAGATGTCAATAATATCAGTCACAAAGAAAGCCATCACCAAGGTAGCAGCTACTTAACTGACACACATTCACAACTGATAGCTTCATCTGAATTTCATCATCTGACTGCTTGATCTGAATCTTCTCTCTGTCTGTGAGCTCCGTGATTTTCATGTGTGTTCTCAGCAAATGTTGGTCTCGCTCCCAAACAGACAGCTGAATACAATTATTAATGGACTTAGACATATTTCAGTCTATTTAAATGTATTTATCCATTTGTCCATCAGCATCCGTTACATCTGTGATTTTGAATATAGACATGTGAAAACACAAATATTTTTGATTAACTTATTTAATTCCTATTCGTGTCTCACTGAATTCTAAAGGAAAATCATCACAGCTTCAAGTATGTGAGGTGCCATTCACAGTTTAAAATACTGTGAGTTTACACATACTGGTGTGTAACAGGAAGGACTGGTTGGTTGTAAAGATATTACCTTCCAGGTAATTTCTTGATTCTTGATTTGAATTTTCATTCATCCTAAAGATGGATGAAAAAAGTTAATTTTAGATAAACAACAGTAACATCATCATCATCATCATCATCATCATCTCAACATTACTTATGGCTGCGAGCACAAACTGTGACAGCAATGACGCCTTATTGTGAAATCTCACAAACCGGAAATTGACAGTTAGCATTCCGTAGCTAAACTATCAAGTGAGTGTGTGAGTGTGTGTGTGTGTCTCCAGTTGTGAAAATGTTACCATTATCTATTAAAGACGATGAGTATAAGCCGACCAAGTATAACCTGCTGCTGAAACTCTCCGGATGGTTCAGGTAATCTTCGCACTGTTAATAGCGGCTAAAAGGGAGCCATCTAATGATAAGCTGCTAGCCTATTGCTGGCCGGCTAGCCTAAATGAATCTGTGCCACTGTTAGCTTCCTCTGCATTAAATGTTTTTTTTTTTCCATAAGATTGTCAGCTTTCAGGGTTTGTGCTTGAACGACAGTTATACGTATATATAATTTCTAGGAGTTGATGACAGGGATTTGTCTGCGGTCTGTGGCTCATGCT